TCTAATCCCTATTCTCCTTTATTTTAGATTACTTACTATCCTCCTTCTCTTTTTTTTTTATTTCTCTTTTTTAATAAATTTATTATATTTCTACTTTATACTACTCTAACCTCTCCCCTATTTATTTATATACTTTAGCCTCGTACTTTATACCGTAGTATATATTTATCTTATTATAAAGTATTCCTCTTCGTTTTCGTCCTTATTAAAATATTTTATAAAACGTATACCTCGTTTTTATAATATTTTTATCCGTCTCTTCTATCTCTATTATCCTTTATTTAATACTCCGGCATATCTCTTTTTTATAATAAAAAAGCGGGAAATATATATTATAATATTTATAACGTTATATCGAACTATATATTTATATATACCCTATTCTATAGTCTATCTTTTCTCGCTTATATATAAATAATAAAGTACGTATATTAAGATAAAGAATTCGTTCTATAGTTATATAGAACGAATCTTAATAGAGATAAATAAAAAAACCTTTTAAAAATAAAAAATCCCTAACTACTTTTTATTAAACGAATCTTTTACTCGCTAATAGTAAATAAAACCTCCTTTTTTATTACTTAAACCTAGCCTAATTTAACTTATATTAGATATCTCTTAATAAGCCCTCTATTTTTATATTACTTCTCTACCCGCTAGCTTCTCGTCCCGCCCGGACATAATCTCTATTTCCTAAATTAATACGCCCCCCCGCTATATACTTCTTATATAATTACCTCCTATAGTATATATATATTAATTCCCTCCGTTCTATAGAACTACTACCGTGCCCCGAGCTATTAAAAAAATCCCTCTTCTTTGTTTAGAACTACTCCGAACTACTTCTTAGCTAGTTCCTCTACCCTCCGGCTTTAAAGCCCTATTAAAACTATTAATAACACTTTATTTATATATATATAGCCGCCCTCCCCCCCCTTTTACTTACCTTCCTTTATTTCTTTATATTAATTTAGCGGGAGCTTATACTAAAAGTAGCTAGATAGCGACCCGAACTTAACTTTCTTTTATACCGCCTTATAGCTCTTACCCCCCACCGTCTTATATTACTTACCTCGCCGCCCGTACCGGGGCTCGTTTAAAATCTCTCCCGTCTCCCCCCTTTAATAATACCGCTAAACGTAGTATACCGGGTACTTATCTACTACCTCGTCTAGTTAATAAAATAATATCTAGATCCGTTACCCTTTTTTTTTATTAAACTCTATTTACTACTCCCCTCGTCCGCTTTATTTAACTATATTACTTCGCCCTATACTATCGTTTTTTTAACTACCGTTAATAATCCGCCCTTACTCTTTATATCGATTATATAGCTCTATACCCGCTACGTCTTTATATAATTCGCTCCTAACCCTATTTATAAATACGCTTATTATTATCCGCTAATATCCTACCGTCGATATAAACGCCTCTATCTCGGCCCGGTTATACTCGTTTATTATACTCTTATATAGCTCGGGCCGGCCTGCGCGCCCGTTATATATAATAATTAATTTTATTACTTTACCCGCCCGCCGTCCTCTTTGCCCTATTTATTATATAAAGTTTACGAGCCTATATAACTACTCTATATAGATAATCGCTACGATACCCTTAACGTTAATCCCTATCCTTAACTTTAACGTAGCTACGATTTATTAATATCCCCGGCCCCCGGCTTACGCTAACTATACTTTTTAATAGTCCTTTTTACTTATCCCGCTATAATAATAATCGTACCCGACCTCGCTAGCTATAGCTACGTATTAACATCTTAAGTAGTAATAAATTACGCCCTTTTATGCCCCGGACATTATTACTTTTAGCCGTTTAGCTATTTTTATTATTTATCGCTCTACTGCCCTGCCCTTTACCCCGACCTACTCTACCTAGTATTAATAATTAACCTTTATCGTCCGGTCCTATACCGCCGCCGCGTCTTTTATTAATATCTACTCTTAGAACTAGTTCTCGAGCGCTATTAATATCGTCGCTATTAATAATACGAGCGGGTAATAATACTAATATAAGCTTTTAAGCTCGCCTAGCCGTACCTAAAAGCCGATATCTATAATAACGGTATAATACTCGTTTATAAAGATCTACTAGAATAAGCCGGCGCACGCTAACCTATTAATATAAATAAAAAACTCCCCTATAATAACGATATCGGCGCTAATAACTACTAGCCGCGCGGCCCGTAATAGCCCTTTTTATTTAGCGTTTAATAATAATTAAAAATAAATATAGTTAACGCTTATTAATACAGTATATATAACTAGATCCTTTATTAATATTATAAACGGTACGACTATAATATTTATTTTACCTTTTACTATTATTATTAATAATATAAATAGTATACTTTTACCGGCCCCGGTTAGTAATATGTTAATAATTAATTAATTACTTTTTAGTATTATAATTGCCCGTATACTCTCGGCCTATTAATTATTATGCTATATTGCTACGGGCCCGAATAGTTTACGTAGCCCTATTGCTATTGCTTTGTTTATATTTACTGTATCCCCTGTATCCTCTACGTCCTCTGCCGCCGCCCTGCTCTGCCTCTATTTACGCTAGCTAAGTCCTATTTATTATTATATCTCTTTTTTTATTATATTGTTTACCCTTTTCTGCTTCCCCTCCCTAGCCGCCTCCCTAGCCGCTTCCCTTTTTAAAAACTAATACTATAACTAGCTAATTTCTTAAAACGTCGCGATTATCTCGGGCTATAGCTTACCTAAAAACCCGATATAAATAGCGTAATATTATTACGCTACCCGGCTTTTATACGTCGATGCTAAATGCTATATAATATTCTAGCTTCCTTTATAGTATACTAGTTCTTTAATAACTGGGTTTACCTCGATATTATCCTTATCCCTATCGTCGTTATTAAGCTAGTTTTTAATTTATTATAGTGCGAGCCCCCGTATTTAATAGCCTATTTCGATAGTTATTACTCGGTACTATCCTACTTTTAAATATACGCCTGTCGTTATTTATATTACCCGCACTAACGTCTAGCTAAGTCGTTCCGTTTCTTATACCCCCGAGCTATTATCCCGTTATATAAACTTTAATTATGCTTTATATAGTTCGTTTAATTTATTTCTATACCGGAGTACCCGTTTTATTAATATTAACTACGTAATATATACTATTATTATCCGCCCGATTCCCTCGGATACGAACCGTACTACTTTATATAAATTATTTTAAATCGTCTTTATTTTATCTCGGTCTATTATAATTATTACTTACCCGTTAAATATAAAGATATTATAAATAAGTTATTATGAGTCGTAGTACCGTAACGTCGCTACTTCGGGCCCTCGGCCGGGTAATTTACCTTATATATAAACGAGCACTATAAATACTTTTTAAAATATTTTTAGCTACCGGAGCTACCGTTATACCCCCTCGCGCTTAAGTTATTACTTTTTAAGGTTCTATATTAACGCCCCTAGCTATTTTATTATAACCCCCGGTCCGGGTTCTAGCTAGCTATTTTTTAACTTCGTTATAAACGACTATCCCGCCCCGAGCTATACTATATTATTAGCGATCCGTTTTAATTTAATCCGTATTTTAATCGTTTTTTAATTCCCTCTATATAGCAAACCGACTAGCTTTTATACGTTAACGACCTAGTTCCGGAGCGCCCGTATAAAGTCCTAAACGACGATATATTTATTATTATAGAATAGTAACTCGCCGTTATCTGTTTAACGTACCGATAACTATCCGCTTATTTATAGTCGCTAGCCTCTACTTAGCGCTATTTACTTAATTATCGTATTAATAACCGTATACGTACCTATATATATCTAAGCGGCGTATTAGTCTTAGAACGCGAGCACTATTTAGATCCCGACTTTATTTTAGTCCCGGGGCTAGCCCTCGAACGCGGCCTCTAAAAAAAAGAGCCGGGATTATTATAAAATAGCCGCTAATATACCTATATATAAATACGGCTTTATATACTTAACCGGGCGGGTTCGGATCCTTAACGCTATATAAAAGTATAGTAACGAGTTAAAGTATACTTACCCGCCGACCTAGGTCTTAACTAAAATAACGAAAAACGAAAATATAGCCCGGTTAAGTATTTTATCGTTACCTTAAAAACGGATACCCTCGATCCTTTTTCTATTATCGTCGCTATTTTAACTATTATAAAACCCGCTATCGTAGTTATTAATTATACTACTCTTATTTAGCTCGGCTATTACGTTATATAATAAGCCCTATTACTCGTTTATAAAGTAAATAGCCTAACGCTCTAGCGCCTCGTCTCTTCTAATCTAGTACGCCTATTAATAAAAACCTAAATACCGATACCCTATTAACTAGTATTTAGTTATAAACGCCTCTTTACCTTTAAGCTTAAATAGCATCCCGCTAGGGCTAGTACTTACAATACTAGCGAGCTATTAAAACGTCTCGGTTAATACGCTATTTAATTACTAACTATACCGTTCTATTTTATAATTAAAGCTCTTTTTAAAATAAAATAAAACTAATCGCTCCTACGCGGCCTCTTTATCCCGTTCTTAGCCTTATCCTAATACTATACTCTTAGCCCGTATTTACTTAATAATATTATAGATCCTAAGAAGATCGCAAGACCTAAAATACTTAATTTATTATAGCCTCTTTACTTACGACGAGTCCTGGTCTATATTTTCTTTTAAATCCCCTATTCTTAGCCGCTCAGTATCCTCGGCATTAAGTTCGGCCGTATACTAGGCTATTATTAGCTCTATAATATCCTTTCTACCGCTATTACCTAAACCGGGTCCTACCTCGGTCTCGTTATTACCAATAATTTAATATTATATATACTTCCCGCGCATTTACGTTTATAACCGGACCTTTATTAACTTCGGCTTAGTCGCCGTATACTTAGCCTCCTGCTAATAGCGTATAATATTATTACTTACTATAATAAAATAGCGGTATATAGAATAACTATACCCCTATAGAACGTTAAACTATTTAATAGCCGAGCTATTATCGCTAGGTAGAGCATTAACCTTTAGATTAACTAGATCTAAGTAGCTATAATAGTCTTTAATATCTTTAAAAACCTTTCCTTTTAGCCGATACTTATAGTAAAAGTACGACTTAATACCGCTACCGGGTTAGATAATTATTTTATATTTCCGATAGATAAATATATAATACTTCTCGTTAATCTTAATAAAGCTATCTATAGCGATTTAATACCGTTTCTTACTCTTTAATAATAAATAAGCTATATAAAGTAATCTTCCTATTTATTATTCTTTAATTACTTTATTAATACCCCTTTTTCGTAGCTTAACCCTAATAACTACCTATATAACCCTAACCCTAAGTCTCTAGTTAATAAAAAGCACCGATTAATTATAGCGCCGACCTAACTCTAACCGATATTACTTTAAAGCTCGGATTATATTTTATAGTTTATATAGCCAATTCTATTTAAATCGCCTCTGAATAATACTTAGGGTATCCCTCGAGGTTATTAACTATTTAATTTTAATAAATCTTTCGGCCGCTAGGTAATAGCTAAAAGAATTATATAAATTGCTACGATTCTTTAGGTTAATACCTAGCGGCTAAAAGAATTAATAAATTTATTATAATTCTTTAGGTTAATACTTAGCAGCTAAAAGAATTATATAAATTATTATAATTCTTTAGGTTAATAGTATTAACGGATTTACTATAATTCTTTTAGCCGCTAGGTAATAACTAAAAGAATTATATAAATTACTATAATTCTTTAAGTTAATAGTTAGCGGCTAAAAGAATTAATAAATTTATTACGATTCTTTAAGTTAATACTTAGCGGCCGAAAGAATTATATAAATTGCTATAATTCTTTAGGTTAATAGTATTAACGGATTTATTATAATTCTTTTGGCCGCTAAGTAATAACCGAAAGAATTATATAAATTATTACGATTCTTTTGTTTATTACCTAGCGGCTAAAAGAATTAATAGATTTACTACGATTATTTTAGTTACCTTATCTTTATTAAGTAATTAAAATAATAATAAATTAAAAAATGAGTTTTTATAAAGAGTATTGTATAGCTACCGTGGCGAGGTAAGCTATTAAGTTTTAGAAACTAAATTTTTTTTAAAAAAACAACTTTATATAAAAATTATAATATTAATTAGAAAACTATAAATTCTTAAAAAAAGGTTATTAAAATAAAATAAAAAGTTGTTTCTTTTATATATATTTTTTTTTGAAATTAGATCGATTTAAAAATAAAAAACTTTTTCTTTTGAAAATAAAAGTTAGTTTTTTTTAAAATTTTCTTAAACCTAAACGGATTTTGCCTACTTGATATACTTTTTTTATATTTCGGGTTTAAATTAAAAATAAAACGGCCTTAACTTTTTTTTAAATAGTTTAGTATAGTTTATTTTAAAAAGAGCGTTTTATATAACTATTTTAGGCATAATAACGGCTTTAGTATAGTTAATTAATTAATTAAATACTATATATACGAACCGTAATTAAGCGTCGTTTAATTTATTTAAAGTACCCGGGTCGTCGGGGCTATTATTATATTTTATAGCGATTAAGTTTTATAATAATCCTTTTTTTTTATTAAACGCTTTTAAATAGAGAGCCGAGCCGAGCTAACGAAGCTATAGGTTAAGTACGGTTATATTATCTTTTTTATTAATACGCTCTACTTTTTTATATTAAATATCGTCGCTTTTATTTTAAAACGCCTCGATAGCCTATTAAAATTAGATATATAGCTCGTCCTCGTAGGGTCGTATTTACTTAAGATCTAGCTCTTTTATTATTTTAAATAACTCGTTCCTAAGTTTATTTTTAAATAACTATTAATAATAGACGCCCGTTCTTTACGGACTATTATTTTAGGAATTAATATAGAGGTATATAGAATTAATATAGAGGTATATACCTTATAGCGGTATATACATTTGCCTCTATAATTAGCTTAAAATTTTATTATTAATATATCTAAATTCTATTGCTCCGCTCTTAAATACTCTCTTTATTTAGAATTTCTTTTACTATTTTATTTATTATATTTAGTATCGATATATTAATATCTAAACCGTAGTATAATTTATATTACTAAACTATAGTTCGTAGCTCTAGCGACGTAATACCCCCTTTAAAACGCTAACGTATCGATATATTATTATTCCCTTTTTTAGTTAGTAGCCGTCTTAATATTAGCTAATTCTATAAAGTTAGCGACCTTTAAATATATAGCGACTTAATTAATAACTTATTACCCGAGCTATTATAATAAATACGATTATTATTTTATTATTAGCCCTATTACCCTAGGATCGAACCGAGACTCTATTTTAAACGCCGTTTCTTTAATAAAACCGATTCTTTTTAATTTATTATTTTACCCCAACTTTTATTTATTTATAGCGGCCCCTATTAAAATAATAAGTACTTTAAATCTATACTTTACTTTATATACTGTTTTTTAAAAAGAACTTAAAGTACTTAACGTACTACTTTTTTTTATATCTCGCTAGAGCGGAGTTTATTATCCTTTTAAAATAGATATTAAGACTTTTAGTAGCCTATTATAGAGTATTTTAATAATACTTTTAAGCTTATTTAGTAGGTTATTAGTATTAATAAAAGGTTAACGACTACCCTCTTTTAATAATACGAGCTAAGCTACTATTAATAAAAGACGTAGGGTTTTTAAAAAAACCTATTATTTTTATATTTATTTCTATAATAAGACCTTTTTTCGAGCCTATTATCTTTTTAAACTATAGCTTTTTATTATAGCTAATTTAAAAAATCCTCTTCCCCCCCTTTAAATATAATTCTAAACCTATCGATCCTAGGTAGCTTAGAGCTTACTACTAAAGCCCTCTTTAATTAACTTAATATATTTATAAGGGCTAACGGGTTTAGTATTATAAAACGGTATAAGTATACCTCTCGGATAAGTCGGCTTATATAATACTCGTTTTAATATAATCGATTTAATAAGCCCGGTCTTTTAAAAAGTATAAGTATTTAATAACGGAGGTCCTAGAAGTATAGCTATTAATAATAAATAATTATAGAAGTATAAAAAGAAGGTAAATAGCTTTTATACTACTTACTAGACCCTCGTTATAGTTAATATAATTATTAACTAAGCCTTAAAGTATCTACTTACCCTTTATATTAAAAGCTTACTTAGCCTATTAAGGATTTTATTAAAAATATAAGCCGTTATATTAGTATTCGGGTACGTAACGTCCGTATTATTATATAAAAGTAGTTTTTAAATTCCGTACTTACTTAGCGGGATATTTATAATACTTAAATACGCTTTAACTAGGAAAAGTTAAATAGTTATTTACTAACAGCTACGTTAATTAAGTTATTTAATAAACGGGAGATCCTTTATATTATTAAGTAGGCTAATAATAAGCTAAACTACTTTATTAAGCTAGTTTAGACCTTTTTTTATTACCTCTAAATATAGAAGCGGTTTCCTAAAATAATTAGTTTCGATAATATTTATAATACTAATCGCTTTAAGCTTTTACTATTCTAAATAACCGGGTAAACCTACTTTAAGTCTATTTATAACGTAGTATTTAGTTTTATTAATAACGAACGGTTAGAAGGCTTCCGATTTCTTTTAAAAAGTATAAAAGAACTAGTTAATTAATACTTAATTCGCTACCCTATAATTATTATTATAAATTATAATAAATAAATAAAAGCTATACTAAATAAAAAGTTTCCGAATATTATTATAGCTAACTAGTCGTAGTAAATATATTAATAAAAGTTAAGGCTATAAAGGCTAAATAAATAGTATTATAATTATAAATAGCTTTTTTAAAACTATATCTATAAATCGTAAAGTAAATAAGGCTTCGGTAATTAATCGTAGTTTTATTAAAAGGGGTTTTTAATAAAGATAACTAAAAGTAATCATAAGATCTAATATTAAGTTAATTATTAAAAAAGTTATAAAAAGTCTATCTTTAAGCCTAGTTTAAGTCTATATTATATATAAGTCTCGTTCCTAAATATATCCTTTATAATATTTTTATTTACTATTATTTAATTATTTACCGAACGGTCGTCCGTCCTATTTATTTATAATTATACGTCCTATTTATTTACAGGCGTCCGTTCTTTATTTTATTATATAATTATAGTTATATAATTTATTTATAGTTCTTCTATCCCGAGAGGAGTTATTTTAAGTCCGTTACTTCTATATATATAGTATAATAGCCGCCGTAGGTCCTGTAGGGTAGGCCCTGGCCTTGTTATGCGTGTTGGGTCGTAATAAATATTTAGTAATAGCTCTATATCTACTATATTAATTCTAATATTATATTTAAAGCTAAATAGAAATAGATAAAGAAATCCGGTAATATAAGTAATAGTAATAAGTTTAATAATAAAGATTATTAACTATAATTATTAATAACGGTCGAGCTTAGTAATAAAGACCGCGCCTATATTAATATAACAGTAAATTAAACTATCCTATATACTTACCGCGGGGTATTTATTATATAAAAGTTTATTATTTTTATTAAAACTAAATAAGCTTTTAAAAAAGCTTAGAAGAAGCTATATAAAGAGTTTAATAACTAACGCCTAATTTTATAATATCTCTATTTTATATATTTATCCGTAAAAGCGTAATAGGCCCGTTATTTATTTATAAATATTAGAACTTCGGTATTCGCATAACTTTTAATATAGAATTAAATAATAATAATATTAAAGGCTACTTTTTTAACGGTCTTAGCTATTTATATCGACTCGTCGACGTTATATAGGATATAATTAATAACTAAGAGCTATGCTTTTAATAGGTATATATAGAGGACGAGGTATTTATAAACCGAGACTACCTTAGCCCCCGCTCGGAGTACTTTAATAACTTTTGTTTTATAGTTTCGTTAAAATATTTTAAGTTAATTATTAAATAATACCGGCTTATATATAAAGTAATACTTTTTAAAAAAAAGCTATTCTTATTCCTTATCGGAGCGTATAATAATAACTATTCTATATCGGTTAAGCTTAGTATCCCGTACTTTTATAAAATCTTTTTAAAAATTAAAGAATCGTTAATTTTTAATAAATAAGAGGTTTATTTATAGTAGCGGCTTCGGGGAACGTCTTTTTTTAATTTTTACCGTCGGATTTTAAATTTAAAAATTATAATATCTCTTCGTAATAAATTAAAAAACATAGTATAATTAGTTCTTATAGAGCTTGCGCTACTTTAATAAAGTTAATAACTTCGATATTAAACTATTATAATATTTAATAACTAAGGCTCGACCGGCTATAAGCAAGGCTACTTACTAAAAAGCTATAATAAGTTAACTTTAATAAAAGGCTTATAGGGGGTTTATTAACTAAGTTCTAGTTAGGCCCCCGACCTATTTTAATAGTAAATAAAAAACTAGTCTAGTATTTTTAATAAAAGAAAGATAATAGGGTATTATATAAATAAATAGTTATTATAACTTAGTATTTAGAGGTAGTAAAGCGAGTAAAAGATAGTATTAAATAACGTTAAGTAAAGGATTTTATAGCTACGTTATTTTAAATATTTTTAAAGGATTTATAAATATTTAGTTAAGTTATTAAGTATATTAAATATTTATTTTTAAACGTTAGATACTTTATAAAGAATGGTCTAAGGGATATTTTATTTAGTAAAAGCTCTAGAGTTATTAAGTATATAAAATATTAATATAACTATTTTAACCGCCTTTGCGGGGATATACTAAAATTTTAAGCTAATTATAGGGGCGAATGCGTATACCGCTATAAGGTGCATGTCTCTATATTAATTCTATATGCCTCTATATTAATTCCTATTACTTTACTCCTTTTTTATTATAATAATAAAGCGACGTCCGCTTTTAAATCCTAAGTCCTAGCTATACTTAACTTTAAAATATTTTTAGATCTACCGCTAGTTTTTATTTATATATTAATAATCGGTTAATAACGTATTATTTTTAATTACGAACTTATATTAAAAACTATTTAGATTTAGTAAACCTAACGCTATAATAGCCAGTATAATATCCGGCCTAAATAGTAAATTAATATAGGCCTTTTATTAATTTTAAAAGATATTATAACCTAACGCTTACGCTTTTACTTTTCTAATCTTTTAATTATAAAGAGTATACGGATTATTATAAAGATATATTTTAATTTATTTTTATATAACTACGGTTTAATATATATAGTAATATAAAAGCCGGAGTTCTAATTTATAAATAAAATAGTCTATTATAAATACGTAAAAATAGAAACGTTATATATAAACCCTATATACTAGTTATTAATTATAGAATTATAGTATATTCTTTTATCCTCTCTGTTTTATAATATTAGATCGAGTTAAATATTATTAAATATCGTTAATTATAATAAAATATATTACTATAGCTATTATTAAACTTTATAAATCGAGAATACGACTTAGTTAGCTATAGCGAGCTAGTCTATATTTATATACCCTATTATTTAATAACTATTAAAAAATTAATTAAAAAGTAGATTAATTTTAAAGCAACTATATTTATAAAAAGATATATTTTTATTAATATTAATCGACTCGTAATTAATCTTTTAATAAGTTTATTTATTTTTAACTTTTTATAATAAATATAGCGTTTAGAACGTTAATTATTAATAGACGTTAATTTTAATCGTTATAACCCCTATATCTTACTAATACCGAATTTCTTTCTATATAAAATTAATCGTCGGTAGGCTATCGATATAAATAATTACTACTAGGCCTTTTATTAATTTTAAAAGATATTATAATTTAACGCCTATGCTTTTATTTTTTTAATTTTTTAATTATAAAGAGTATACGGACTATTATAAAGATATACTTTAATTTATTTTTATATAACTACGGTTTAATATATATAGTAATATAGAAGCCGGAGTTTTAATTTATAAATAAAATAGTCTATTATAAATATATAAAAATAGAAACGTCGTATATAAACCCTATATACTAATTATTAATTATAGAATCGTAATATATTCTCTTATCCTCTCCGTTTTATAATATTAAATCGAGTTAAATATTATTAAATATCGTTAATTATAATAAAATATATTATTATAGTTATTATTAAACTCTATAAGTCGAGAATATAACTTAATTAGCTATAGCGAGCTAGTCCGTACTTATATACCTTATTGTTTAATAACTATTAAAAAATTAATTAAAAAGTAAATTAGTTCTAAAGTAACTATATTTATAAAAAAATATTCCTTTATTAATATTAATCGACTTATAATCGATCTTTTAATAAATTTATTTATTTTTAACTCTTTATAATAAATATAGTACTTAGAACGCTAATCGTTAATAAACGTTAATTTTAATCGTTATAACCCCTATATCCTATTAGTACCGAATTTTTTCCTATATAAAATTAATCGTCGGTAGGCTATCGACGTAAATAATTACTACTAAGCTAGCTTAAATAAAAGGTATTTAAAATTTATAAATCTTAGTTTTTTTTAAGCCTAACCCTTTAATACTTAATTAATAAATAATATAAAATATAAAATCAAAAAAGCAAATTTCTTTTAAAAAAATAATAGGTTTTTTTAAAAAATTCTTAAACTTAAACGGATTTTGCCTATTTAATATTATTATTATATATTAATCCTCTATATAGTTCGCCTTTATAAAAGGTTTTTATTAATAATAGTATTTCTTAAAATAATAGCGAATTAACTTATAATAATACCGATGCTTAGAACACGAAAGCGGGCTTAAAAATTTAGATTATTATAATTAGTACGCAGTGTTCTTTGTCTCCTTTCCTAGGCAACGCCCTGTATGCTAGGAGTATCGCCCAAGCAATCGATAGTGTCAACTTAACATTAACGCTAACTTAAAGCTAAGCCTACACTTTCGTCAATACCGAGGCCGCCAACCTCGCTACCCCTTTTATGATTCTCTATACGAAGACAAGGTTGCTCTAGCTTTACTCCAGGAGACATGCTCGAAACGAGATTCGGGACTAGTGCCTTGTCATTGGCCTGAATTTCAAATCCACAACATTCACCGTCAACGGTCCCTGCGCCTACGTTTTAGCCACGCTTCTAAAGATCCGTAGATCGACTGTCTATTTTTCGACGAGAATCCTCCCGCTCTACGAGAAATTCCTTGAATAGTATATCGTCTTCCGAGGCGCTCCGCCGAGACATCGCCTGATTTGTGAGTCTGTATATGATAACTCTGAGCCAAGCCAAGCTTGGGCTTTCCCTTTCTCCACGTTCGTGACACAGACGCTCGTATAGATTCTTAGCTTAGGAGTTCGTGATTAACGGTCCGGCGTGACATCCCACCATGAGTTGCCGTCGATCCGGGACGTTGAACTAGTATATTGAGAGGCTTCTGGATAAGAACTTGGATGTCTCGCTCCGACATGATGAGACCTTTCTTTCGGGTCACCGCGTGTCAACTCACTCGTTTAGCTAATACCGACACTATGGGTCGTACCACACTCTCTCATCTACTTTTGATTTCGCTCTCTTTGACACAGGCTTCGCGAGCCCAACTCTCGAGTTGCCCTTCTACAGCAGAGAACATCGTCACTCCCGATGGCTCAGCTACCTACTCGGTCTGCCAGCAGACCGACTACAGGGGAACTACAACTAAGTTTGTCGACACCGTAGCGACCTTATTCGACTGCGCCCAGGCTTGTAGTCAAGATGCTCAATGCACGCAGGCGGTCTACGACAAGGCTAATTTCGGTTGTCACCTCAAGGCCAAGGATGGCCTCAACTGGGCGGCCGACACTAAATTTACGACTATCAAGCTGGTCTCCAAGCTCACAAAGGGTGTCGCCATCCAGTCTTGCCCGACTATCGCGACGAATGTGACTGCCACTGGGTCCACCCTAGCCACTTGCCCGAACACGGATTATCAGGGCGACACCATCCGGGCCGTCGGCGGCATCGCCTCGCTCCAGGCATGCGCTCTTGAGTGTGGCCAAGCGTCCGACTGTTCCCGAGCCGTTTTCCAAAAGTTGACTTCTCAGTGCTACATCAAGGCGGACCCCAAGGCCCTGCAATGGACGTACCAGCCCGGCTTCGACTCCGTGAGCAAGATATCCGTTCTCGCTGACGGTGTTGGCATTAACAGCTGCCCGAGCGGCTATGCCAACATCACCACCCAGAACGGCGCCAGCTTCGCGACCTGCAAGAATGCTGACTTCACAGTCCCAAGCGTCAACGTCGTCGGCGGCGTCGCGTCTGTCGCAGCCTGCGCAGAAAGCTGCACCATGAACCAAAACTGCGCGTATGCCGTTTACGACGCGCAGAACCAAGTCTGCCACATTAAGGGGACCGTCACCGCCGCATCTGACTGGAAGTTCAACAGGCAATTCACCTCGCTACAGATGATCAAGGCTAGCACCTCCAAGGCGACGTCCAAGATTGGCCGCTGGTCCGACGTCATCCAGTTTCCCATCATTCCCGTCGCGGTCTACGTCGTACCAGCTCAGCCCTCCTCGGCTCGCCTCCTCGTCTTCTCGTCCTGGGGCGTTCGCGCCTTCAGCGGGCCCACGGGCATCACACAGTTTGCAGACTACAACTTCCTCACGGGCGCCGTTTCGCAACGAACCGTCACGAACACCAAGCACGACATGTTTTGTCCCGGGATCAGCTCCCTCGCTAGCGGGAAGATTGTAATCACCGGCGGCGAGAACGCCGAGGCCGTGAGCGTCTACGACCCCGCCACCAACCAGTTCACCCGCGCCGCCGACATGGTGATTGCGCGCGGGTACCAGACGTCGGCCACGTTGTCGGATGGCCGAATCTTCACCATCGGCGGCTCTTTCACGGGGCCTCAAGGAGACAAGACGGGTGAAGTCTACGATCCGGCCAAGAACAAATGGACGCTTCTTCAGGGGACTGACCCGACTCCGCTGTTGACGACGGACCACGAAGGTATCTGGCGCACCGATAACCACGCCTGGCTCTACGGCTGGCGCAACGGCTCCGTCTTCCAAGCCGGCCCGAGCAAGGCGATGAACTGGTACCGCACCAACGGCGCCGGCTCCGTCTCTGCGGCGGGCGTCCGCACCACCGCGATGGACCAGATGTGCGGCGTCAATGTCATGTACGACATCGGGAAGATCCTCACCGCCGGCGGGAGCCAGGACTACACGGACAGCGACGCTACGAAAGCCGCCCACCTTATCTCGATTACCGACCCTGGCGTCCCCGCGACCGTCGAGAAGCTTCCCGACATGAATTTCGCCCGTGGCTTCGCCAACGCCGTCGTGCTGCCGGACGGCAAGGTCGTTGTGACGGGCGGCCAGCCGAGATCCCTCGTCTTCACCGACACCGACGGCGTCCTCGTCCCGGAGCTCTGGGACCCAAAGACACGCGCCTGGACGCCGATGGCTCCCGCCGCGGTGCCCCGCAATTACCACTCCGTCAGCATCCTCCTTCCGGATGGCACCGTCTTCGTCGGCGGCGGCGGCATGTGCCCCGCTGCGCAGGGGAGCGACCTCTCCTGGTGCGATCGCGCCAAGGATCACTTCGACGGCGAGGTCTTCACGCCGCCGTACCTGTTCACGGCCACGGGCGAGCTGGCTGTGCGGCCCGTTATTTCCAGCCTTTCGCAGACCACGGTCAAGGTCGGGTCCTCCATCACGGTCGCGCTCGAGAGCGGGCTGAATGGTGCTTCCTTCGCACTTGTTAGGATGGGTAGCGCGACGCACAGCATCAACTCGGATCAGCGCCGCGTGCCGCTGACTGACGTGACCAAGTCCGGCGAGAGCAAGTACACGCTGAGACTGCCGAACGACTCAGGCGTTCTTATCCCCGGTCCTTGGTATCTTTTCGCGTTGTCCAAGGAGGGTGTGCCCAGTATGGCGAGAACCGTTTTTATCCCTGCTTGAAGAGCCCATTAGTTCATTACTAGTATCGCGCATGAAAGGGGGGAAATTAATGTGTGTAAATTAGACTTGAAGACTACCTATTTCTATTTTTAATATAACTCTAGACCAATGGTTTTCTTTGAATCCAGTAAGATGATATGTTGCGTTACTCTTTCGACGTGCTTTGTAGCCCTATGATTCCTCGAGAGCTAGGATATACTAATCGTACTCTCGTCTAGATAAAGTCTAAGTGAAAGTCAAAGAACTTAGGGATTCGAATCCGGAATATATATAATTAATACCGTTATTATATAAATACTACCGCTGTCGCTAATATTATATAGCTAATAATAGAGAATAATACTCTTATATATAATAAACTGAATAACTACTTTATATTACTATTAGTTTTTTTTATATTAGGCCTATAGCTTTTAATCAAGACGTCTAAACTATTCTTATTATTACGTACCTTATTTACGTTATATATTAAGTGACCCTTTCAATTTCAGCTTAAAATCTCACTTTATAACTTAAAAATATAGCTTTAAAGAAGGTATTTAAGCTTATAATACTATTTATTTTATATTATAGCCTTGACTTTTATTAATATACTTATTACGACTAGCTAGCTATAATGTTTAAATATAAACACAATATAACTTCTATTTAAAATAGAAACGTTTTATTATATATATAAAAAAAAGTTATTATTAAAGTAAAGAGTATAAAGAAATAAAAGTACGTAGGTTATTATACTACGTGATGCGTTATAAATATAAGTTATATTATATTTTATATAGTTAATTAAAAAGAATAATATAATATAGATTTTATTAAAATCTTTGTTTTTTTAGAAATCTTATTTTAATATGGATAAGCCTAGTTAACCCTATTACACAAATCATCTTAAAAATAGATAAAAATAATTTAAAATCTTGGAAAAATATTTCATATTTAAATTTCAATATTAAAATATAGTAATTATAATATAGTAAGTAAGGTATTAATGTTAGTATATGTTAAAGATTTGAAACTAACTTATACTAGTCATAATAAAACCCTGGCTGCTTACCGGCCTTACTTTCCATTCTAAACTATTAACTTCTCCTTTAAACCTGGCGGTCTCTTCGACTAGGTCCCACTCGCCAGTTTCTTCGTTTTTCTTTAAGGAGCGAAAAATGATGGTCTCTCCAGCATCTTCAAAGATGAATTCCCTTCTACACAGCCGCCTCCACTGCTCTGCCAGTGTTCCCTCCCTAGCATTCTCTGCCTCTAACTCGCGGTTTTTTTGCAGCACGGCCAAGAAAGCCTTGCTGTCCCAGAGCCCTTCTTTCCGCGGGTACATTTCGAGGATGCGCGTCGAGTTATCCCTAACCAAGGGATCCCGACATGTCATAGCAACGACAGTGAGCTGCCACGCCAGGCCGAACTCCATTGAGAAGACGTGTGCGGGAGTCTTGAAGTCTTTCTGCTGCTCACGAAGCAGGATCTCAATGACGTCGTTGATCTCTCGACAGTACGGTGTCATAGAAGCGATGGTGGCTTCGTCGGCGTACTTGGGAAAGAAGCTGTATAGAAACATGACGAGGTAGTGCATACGAAGATGCAGGATCTTGAGATACTCTTTGCGTGGGACATTCGTGTCGGACAAAGTCTTGTTGTAGAGCGGCTCGAAAGCGTGTCGCCACTGCTGGAGGTTTGCGACCGACTTTTCGCAGTACGCTAGCAGTTCTGGCTGGTTCTGCATCATCTCGAGTAGTTGGTCGATGCCGGCCTCATCATTGATCTCTTCGACTTTGAGATCGTCGATGACAGTCAGTAGGAGAGGACCAAGCTTAGCGATTCGTCGCTGGCAGATCTGCCACCAACAGTATGCGTCTTCAGCATTGCTGAACACCTCCGGCATTGCTTTTCTTCCTTCCCCTGGGTCAGTATAGCGTTGTATCTGCATGTTGTACGTCTCAATGGTATGTCCTCTGGCCTTGAGGCCTTTGATGAGTTCGTAGGCCGGTGACCGGCTTGAGTTTACATGGCCACTGAGAACTGTGCGACTTTGTACGTCGAGATGGTTATACAGATCCAGAATTTCGGTAATGAGTTGCCTAGGGTCGGGCGCGAGGTTCCAGATGCGATGATCCGAGTCCTCGCTGGTGAGCAACTCTTGCAACAACACGAAACCAAACTTGACATGCTGAAGAGCAGAGTGTCGGTTCCCCCGCAATGCTTCAAATGCGACAAAGAGTATAGACAAAAGTACCGCCTCTTGAATGCTGGCAGTCTGGAAGTCGGCCTGTCCTTGTAGACGAAGTGCCTGGCAGTAGTAGACAATAGCGTTCTGATAATGCGGGCTCTGCAGTAGGTTGGCGATGTTACCAAAATTCCTTGCCACGACATAAGAGGAGCCTTGCGAAGACAGTGCCCTGCTGATGGCCCCGATGCTCATAGCAGCTTGTCGCAGAGCCGAGTTTCGGCGGGTGAGCTGAGGCATGGTGGTTGTCCAGAGGTTGGTCCTAGAGAAGTGAGCGCCGCCGAGTGAGACGCGAACTAATTCATTCCAGTCGTTGAAGTAAACGCTTTGCATATCATCGGCAAAATCGACGGTGTTCACATTGGGTTCCCGGATGCGCAAACGGGGACTCGTCCGGCGACATGATGGTTCGGGGTTCAATGGTTCCAGGTCCCTCGGAGCCTTGCTTCTTGTCTTTCTTGGTTTGATGGCATAACCATCACAGACACCGCGGGTCTTGAGGCAATTCATGCAATGAGGCTTGCCCTCGTCACACTTAATGTGCCGTTTTCTAGAGGAGTAATCAGTACACAAATACTGGCGGTTGGATTTTTAAGTATAATTTGACTTACTTGCCTATACGGAGTAAGCGGTGTCCAGTTACCTATTCAGTTTCCTCGTAGCTGGGTGAAGACTCACAGGTGACACAACCTGTCCTCACTTTAGGTGTGCTGGTGCGCGTGTGGCGAGGACGGTGGACCATGGAGGATCTACCATTTTCGCTTTCTAGAGATCCCGCTTGGCTGGGAGGAGCCCCTGTCGGAGACAAGGAATTCGACGCCGACGCCGTATCTGCAAGGAGAGTGGGATCCATTCTCGATTTTGGTATGTGGCTGTCTAAGGGCAACTCAAATGAGAGACGGGAGAGCCAGAGGCTTTCGGCCGGCGGATGGGCTCCGTTGACCGTAGGTTCGGGGTCGGGCTCGACCCATGCAGCTGCACGATGCCGGTGAAAGGGGACTTGGCAAGGGGTCCGGAAAAGAGCAGTCAGGAGGGTCCTTTTTTGGCAGTCCTGCAGCTTAACCAGCTTTCGTCTGTAGTCGGGAAACAGAGCACTGGGGGGTCCAGTCGCGATCTACCTGCAGAATAGTAGGCTATCCGTCTCGCTGGATTCTGTTATGAACGAGATGTTGGGGTGTTTTCGACAGGATAAGGTGTGACGTGACGTCTTCAGTCTACTGAGGCTGGGTTGCAGCAACGTTTGTCATACAAGATGAACTCGTCAGCCCTCCTTGATCAGAGGCCACACTAAGGCCCATTTGAACAATGATCACGGGGCGGAAAGTTGATCCTGGAATGTGCGATTAGACCGTCTTCGTGCATATGCTGAGTTGTGCAGAGCCACTTTTATTATGTAAACCGGATAGTTGCAAGACCACGCGCAATACCCCTAGCCTGTTGATCGGCACATCGGTCAGCCCGTAACAGTCCTGTCTGCTGCAGGCGTGCTGAGCCACATCTTGATCGGGCTTACGCCAGGTCACCCGTACGTCCATTGCCGATGTTAAGGTTAGCGTTGTGAGTGCGGGCAACCCACGTCTGCAGCCGTCGTAAACCCGCCAGAAAACGGACGTCTTACCCATTCCTATTGGGTCTGCAGAGGTTGGTCTGGATTTTTGTTAGATTTATAAATCCCAGTCTCCCGCCGTTAATCAACCTCGTTAATCAACCTCGTTGCTTCCCCCCACGATATTTTTATTCTCGCAAGACGAGAATCTCCCCATCCCGATTTAACGTTGTCACCCTCTGGCCCTAGGTAACAGGGCCTTTACACTCTGCAGCAATGTGCGCCGCATCGTCATCAGCCGCGGCGGCCGCGATCCAGCGGGAGACCACTTGGTTCCAGCCAGCCCAACCTACTGCCGCAATGGGCCCAGGATAACTCAAGTCTTCCCGGCGAGGTCGGTTTAACACATGATCTTCAGCATCAACACCAACAACAGTCACTTCAGTTGTCGGCCGCTGGCCTCCCGGGTACAGACTTTGGGCTTTTTGGCCCAGACTCTGTCCACATAGATCCTAGCCTTCCGTACTCTGAACCGCCACCTTGGGACACTCTGCCATGGACGTTTGCTACCTATGCAACGCCTCCCATCAGTGCTAGTCCCCTCGGCAACCCGATTGATCAGTGTAAGAAGACCAACAATATTCTTCCATATTTGCACCCGATGAGTCAACATCCAGTGTACTGACTACATATATCAGCTTTCCCGCTTGCCTTCCTCGACACTTCACCCCCCGCCTTTTTCGACACCTTCTCCGACACCTTCTCCGACACCTTCCTCCCCGTTCAGCCGGATGCCGTCTCTGAGTCCAGCTCTAGTTCCAATTCCAATCCCAACAGCCCGAACCAGCCTCCACCCCTGGATATGTCAGTGTATACTGCTGCTTCGGGGGCTGAGTCATCTCACCGGTCCTCGCCGAATGACAAGGCTCAGGACCGAGAGGTAGCCACTCCCTACACCGACAAGATCCTTCGTCGTCAGCGAAATACGATTGCTGCTCGCAAGTACAGACAAAAGAAGGTTGATCGCATCGATGAACTTGAATTATTGCTGAAGGATATGACTCGGGAGAGAGACGATTTGCGAATTCGTCTCGCTCGTCAGGAGGCTGAGACCGAAGCGCTCAAGAGTGTTATGGGCAAGGAAACTAAGCAGTAACGCCTCACCGCGCTTCATCTTTGTGACTGGGCTTATAGTGGATGAAAGGGCGCGTTTTGCAGGTCGAATATTGTCGTGGAATAGTCGATAAATGAAACTCTCAATCAGTCACACCGTTTTCTATGAAGCTGTTTGAAATGTTGCACCGTCTATATAACCCTTAGGAACTTGATGTGATGCAACCCAGTTTTTTAGGTACTATCGTAGCCACGGTAGTGCACGCGTGATTCAGTATGGCTCATTCTATACTCATGCACTGAATTGCCAACATCAGCATAGTCACAATCAGGCTTACTTCGCGGCCCTTAGTCGTGATATTATGGTGGACAACGATTATTATCTTTGTTCGAGTCTGCAACAAGCAAGGGTTCTGTCACGTATGGCTCGGTACGGCTCTCCGTTGTATATACTTATATACCACCCCCTAGGTAAACAAAACAGCTTCGCTGTATGATTCGCGACAATAAAATATATCAGTCGTTACTGACATGGGTAGTTAAGACCGTGATGTTGGCGCGCCTAAGAGGTTGAGGAGGGGTTTCGAGGGGAGGGGCAGACCTGCGAAGCGCTCAATTTCGGGATCTCCATCAGCGACTCAGGATAGCGCCAGGCATCCTTTCACGCAAGAATCCCTGCTAGCGCGGATGAATCATCGTGAGCCATGCTTGGCGTCTCATTCGCATCTGACCACTACTAGTCTAAGATTGTGGCTGGTTACGAGCGGAATGCAGACGGAAACTTTGTCTCCCGATAGTCCGTACTGAGGTCACCAATTGGCGAACGGGACGGCAGAGGACCCCGACCATTCATGTTATTGCATTCAAGGCGTTAAGAGTTTTTCTAATGCAGCCTCCACCCCGCTATTGCTGTTAAGAAGGCACAAGCTGCACAATTTGCTTAATGCATCCACTTATTCCCGCCGGCAACAAGCTGATCCGGAGATGTGCATCTCCATATTCTTCTGCCATATTAGGTCGATTTAACTGAAGGCATTGACCACCATCTTGTCCCACCTGTTCTGGGGCTCTAGCTGTTCGACGTCTTCATCCTGGGTGTCTAACAAAAATAGGGCCTTTGTAATGCATCGTATCCAGCTCTTTACCTCTTAACGTCACCCTTAAGCAAACATGCCATACAATCGCTCTTGACCTTGGTTTGACTCACGTTTATATGTCAGAAAGCATGGCCAGTTTTCCATCGGTCAGGTTAAAAGCTTTCTTTGCAACAAAGAGTCTCACGCCGTGTTGAGCTAATTATAACATCATGATATTATACGCATCACCTAATGACCTTGTATGAAGTCAGGCGACGCTTCGGAACGGGATGTGGGCATAACTTCCTCATGTCTCCAGTACTAGTATCTGTTTAGACCCCAGTGTCGACAGGCGGAGTCAAGTGTTTCTCGCTTGGAACTCCATATATTTGCGATCCTGGCAAATAAAACCAAAGGAAGTAGCCTTGAGAGCTTAGAAGTGATAAATTTCTACAGTCGCGAGAGTCATAATACTTCCTACGTAGCATTGAAGAGTCACGCACGACCTTGGTGTTTACAGTATAAGCTAGGCTAAAAAGCTTCTCTATATACAATCTTGTTGTGAGCGAGGTCATATTAGTACAAAGAAGTTTATTCGCATAGTTTTATCTGAGAAAAGGACAAATTACGAAATATTCTTATTCCATTCCTTTTGTTTCTACGTAGTACAGAATGCAATAGGGCATTAACAACTAAAAGGAACTCAAACTGATGAAAAAACTGGTATTCTGTACGTTCAGTCATGGGAACTTCAGCATGCCGGTGTCACCGGCGCCGAAGTAAAATACGTCTTGTAGTAAACGTTGTTGCCAATATGCTTGGCCACACTGGGAGGGGGATTGAGCGGACCGCCCTGCTGGTTGGCATTGGGGAACAGAATGCTAGGGCTGTTGGGAGAGAGAACGCTGGTTGGGCAGCCAAGAACGGTGTTGCCAAAGTAGGGGTCAAGCTTGGAAATAGCCCAAGTAGTCGCAGCAGCCACCTCCTCCGTAGTCCCGGCGACGAAGAGTGGCACCAGTGAATTGATACCCTGGTAGACGTCACACAGTAGAGTCGTGGCATTCAAATTTCCTGTCCCGAGCTGCGCAACAGCCGGAGTAACAGGGTTGCGGAGGTAGACGAGGAGACCCTCCAGCACGGTCTGAACTGCAGTGTACGGCGTTGCACGACGGTACCAGTTGGCGGGCCATGTTTCGGGTACGTACTGAAATTCCCCTGTCACAGAGTCGTACTTGGCCCCGATGATAGATGAGATGGACTCATAATTGGCAACACCTCCGAGTCCGTAGGTGCCGTTGCTGAAGAACTTAGACGCCAGATGTTAGTAGCTGATGGAATTCAAAGAGAAGGAAGCAACTTACGTTGGGGTAGAAGGCAAATGCGCCAAGAGAGACGATCAAGGGGAAGGGGAAGTAGTAGAGGTAAGGATTGTTCTTCTGAGAGAACATGGATAGTTGTTGGTATTGTGTACCCATGTTGGTCAGATCAAACTGCTTCGTTCCGCTCTTTGCTACGATGTCAACATTCTGCTTGAACAGGCGGGATGAGAGATGGTGAGCATCGCCACATCCGTTGTAGAAGTCTTCTCGATTAGGTGAGATGTCGGCCTAAGAGGAGAGTTAGACAAATTTCACGAGGCCTGGTTCAACTCGTAGTCTCACCTCGACTGTTGAGTGCCGGTTCAACCCGCCAACATTCCCTGGGCCAGATCCCAAGTAGAAAGACTCAGTTGCGATATCTCCGTCCGTGAGGACAGCAAAAACGCCGAGGATAGTTGACAAATCAGGACCCATGTTAAACCCGCGAGCAGTGGCTTCAATTACTTGGCCCAGGTTGACGTGACCATCACGAGGCAGGTAGCCGTGATTGGCAAGCAGATTCAAGCCCGGGCAGGGTCCTCTGCTGTCATTGGGGCCAGGTGCAATGAAGTCGTAGCCTGGTTCCGGACGCTTGTTTGCGGGGTTCAATGCCCCTTGTGCCACAGCCCCGAGAAGTCCAGTAATTGTGTTGGTGAGTGAGCCGATAATTCCACCAAGGATCTGTGGCTCGGGATTGGCTTCAGGTTCTGCTTTGCGCTTGATCAAATTCTCGAGATCTTGCTTTGTTGCCATAGACGGGAATGCAGCTGCTGAGGCGGCCAGCGAGGCTAGTAATGTACGTCGACACTTCATTGCAACTATGCAGTAGTAAAAAATAGTGTTAAATGAAGTGTAGAAAAGATGCAAGCCAAAAAGCCAGTTAGGGGATCTCTGGCTGATGATAAAGGCATGAAGTGAGGAGAAGACGTTGACTTTTATAAGCGCTCCATGTGAATGACACAGTCCGTTTGACTAGATTCAACAAAGACAATTCTCAGAATGATGACATAGCTATAAAACAAACATCCACAACAGTGCGTCGACGCCCTTTTCACAGGGAATCTCCAACAGTGGTAGTGACATAGAAACGGCTATACGGAAAGATTTGATCCCGAATGTAGTGTATCGGTCCGCGGGAATGGCGTCGTCAACGGCGCTGAAGTGTAGCCACTAGACACTATAGCACCTATTGAGCTTCCACTTTCCCCGGATATGTACTCCGCAAGAACATTTCTGGGGATCCTAAGGGCATGACCAAAGTGCATGGCCGTGTACCAAAAACGCTTCTAAACTACCGATATGCTATTTGTGTCCGCCACGCACGCAGCATCCACGCAGTGGCTGCCCAATATTGGCATTCCTTCAGTTAGTGATGTCAGAAAAGGAAGTAGTGTTCAGACCATCGCGCGGGACGAAGCACTTCCGTCGGCAACGCTAATGGTA